GTGTCCTCTAGTCCTTCTATTATGGGAACTAATGAAGAACTTTTCTTTATTCACCCTATCCACACCACTCATGAATTTATAGACCTCTATCATATCCCCCCTCAGTCTCCTCTTTTCTAAGCTGAAAAGTACCAGTCTTTTTAGCTTCTCTTCATATGGGACCTGTTCCAAACCCCCTAATCATTGTAGTTGCCCTTTTCTGAACCTTTTCCCAGGCCAAAATATCTTTTCTGAGGTGAGAAGACCACATCTGTACACAGTACTGAAGATATGGCGTACCATAGTTTTATACTTCCCCTCCTCCTCCTCCTTCCCCTGGCTTCCCCCATCCAGCTCCCTCATCCCAGGTTCCCCCCTCCCCTCTTCCACCCTCTCTCTTCCCCTCTCACACCTCCCTTTCCTAGTCTCCCCAGACATTAATCCCCTCTCCCCCTCCCGCCCAGTTTTGTTAAATAAAGAGAGTTTCTATATTTGAACACACGTGTCCTTTATTTTTTACATCAGGAAGGGGGGCTAGGGAGGGGTAAGTGGAAGGAGGTGAGGGAGGAATGGGGCACGAGCCCCCGATGGTGAGGCTCTGCGGGCTCTTCGGGGTGGAGGCTCTCCTGCAGGGCCTCCTGGATCCTGACAGCCCCCCCGATTGACCTCCCCAGATGGCAGCCTGCAGCAAGTGCAGCCGGGCTGATGGCCGAGTGCTGTGATGTGCCGAGTGTGGGCACTCAGGGCACTCCAAGTCAGGACTGCTTTGCTGTCCCTCATCAAGGTAGACAAGCAAGCGGGGAATCCTGAGAACTGTCTGTCCGGGGTGGGGGTTGGGTCCCTTTAAGCACAGCCCTCGGCTAGCCAGAGGCAGCAGCTCCACACTCAAAGTCCTAACCTGATGCCCTGCCGGCACTGCTTCCGGCCAGCCTTAAATTCGGTTCAGGGTTCATTCAATGTGGACATGCTATTTCGAATTAGCAAAACCCTAATTCAAATTAGTTTTTAGGTCTAGATGCACTAATTCAAATTAGCTTAGTTCGAATTAACTAATTCGAATTAAGTTAGTTCGAATTAATGCTGTAGTGTAGACATACCCCTGAGGTATTAGGAATACTTGGATCCTCTTCCAACCATGTAGCTTTTCCTGTCTG